AAATGTATCATTAATTCACCTCCGCCTTCAGTGGAGCCATTGCACATTGCCACTAGGAGTATATAATTGTGTCCTCGGCCCCTCATGTTCCGGGAGTGAAAAGACAAAATGCAATGCAGCAGGTCATTGCAGCCCCTTTTATATGGGAGGAATTTAAAACGGGACATCGTTGCTACTTTGAAATCAGGAGATCTTTTGAATAACGTCTGTATTAAGCATACCACTCAGTATTCATGTAATACTGCTTTTCATATTTTACTGTTGCCTCTCTTGATTCAATATTTTTTGTATCACCAGTCAGCTTTAGATATACTTTTTTTCCTTTTGTGAAGTACTTTCCACTTCTTTTTTGGGAATGTTTTCTTTATTGTAGCACTACTTTTGCCATTTCTATCATTATTAATATAAAATGTTTGTTATGAGCGACTGAAGTCTATTAATCCCCATCTGCATCTTCAACACTAGTCAATAACAGGGGATACCCTAGCATGGACTTTCAACCCTTATTGTTGAATATAGGATAAAGACTAATTATATGTGTCTGTTGGTGTGGTGCAGCAGTGATGACATCACCCCCTGTTGTGGCCGAGGACAGTCGGATGCGTCTCCGGCAGCAGCTCCTCGGCTCTTGCAAAACAGGCCCAACGTTTCTCGCTTCTGTTTCCGAGCGGGACCCCCTGGGCTTCAAATTGCCACATAACGGATGTGGAGTTGAGAGGTAAATGTTGTCTAAGCAGCACTCGTGCATTTCGATCCATATTGTTGTCATTGGGCGAAACAATGGCACAATGACTGGCATACCTCTTCAGCCTTGGAGAGGACAGTGTATGATGGGTCCACCGCTCGTCACATAAAGCGGGCAATTAAATGATTTACAAATGCTCCATTAAGGTGTCTTTAATAGGCGGCTTTGAGCACTAACATTGCATTTTGCATTCATGCACAGTCGGACACATTTTACCTCCACCCGAACGAAACACGCAAGCACATATGCTCAGCCTACTTCCTCGACTATACATAATTAGAAGGTTCAACATGTTTGTCCAAGGCTTTCGGGGTTGCGATCATTCCCACAAAAATCCCACGTTCTCATAAACATTTCAATTTTAGAATATATTTGAGCGATTAAAGATGATTAAAGTCGAACCAATTATATGAAATACTTAATTATGTCAAACGAAGAACAGTCACAGTTTTATTTGGGAAGTGCGGTATGGTTAGTTGAGATGCTCGGATTAAAAGCAGTTCAAAGCGTGCAAAGTCTTGATGCCACATGCTTTGATATTAAACAGCACACGTTGCAGAAGTCTGGAAGATCTGAATAGGTCCCTTGGAACTCCATGACATGGACGCAAAGCGGATACAATTTCATAATAATTATTGTGCAACAAAGGCAAGTGCACATGCATTACTGCGAGTGTAGACAACCAGGACTTCTTCCAAGAATGAGGCAGTGAGAAAGAAACCTCTGTGATCTATATATTGGGATTGTTTGAAAAAAAAAAGCCTGCACCAGGCACCACTCTGTGATGTCCGAACCAGTCAGACCCCAGTGTATGGTCAGAGGCGGTTTGATGCCGGGTTTGATGGAGTATGTCAGTCCAATCAGCCCGGCTTCCAGAGTGTGATTGGGTCTGCCAGCCGGAGAGGCAGCCCTGATATTCGCTCCACAGCCAGCTGACAGCCAGCATAGAGAGCAGCTCATACGACACACACAGACAGGGCCGGCACACTGAAGGGGGCCACACTCTGTCTGGGCGAGGGTGAAAGATGGTGGAAGAAATGTGAAGAGGAAGAAGTGGTTTCCAAGCGACAAAGGTAGCAAACTCTCTTCACCCACTGTTGTTATTTTTTCTATGCACCAAAATGTACGTTACAACCACAGCAAAACACACAACAACGATTTTTTGTCATACACATGTCATGAATAAATGCATGGATGTGCTACTAACGGGAATTATTAGTCGCTCATCAAGACCTTCAGCCCAGCCATTGGCCTCTTGTCTAGAAGCATGTTTTGGACACGGCACAGGTGGTCAGTTTGAGTTTAGTGTGTGCAGAGCATCTCTCGCAGGCATGTGGGGGACCTAAAGGCTTTGCAAAAAGTTCTCGGACATTTTCTCTAAGGTTTATGAGCCATAGCAGATGAGTAGATGACCCAAGTTAATTATTATTGAATTTGTTTTCCCTGCTCCACTGATACTTACCTCCATCCTGATGCTCCAATGACAGTGGGTACTCTCATTAAAGGAGGTGGCTGGTTGGAAAGGAACGGCTATTTTCTTTTCACGGACATTTCACCACCAGCATAAACCTGTTAAACTTCCTTATTTGTCGTTGTTAGCACTAGATTTTCATTTCAGAATAATACTATTGTTTGGGAACATTCTTGTGTAATAATGGTGTAAAGCAATGGTGTAAAAAAGTAAGGCAGCATTTTTCAGTGTTTCCATGAAAAACCATCCATATGTTTTTCTCATTCAGTTAATATTTAATTGCCTGTAAACAAGTAAGATATCAGAGTTAACATGACAGCAGAGCATATGAAGTATGAGGGAAAGACAAGACAAATTAATCTAATCAAATGCATAATCTTGAAATTAGATGGTCAGGCAGACTTGCCTTCTGTTCCGTCTTACAAAGAGACATGATATAAATCGCCATCATATAAAAATAAACCCTCGCTCCTCTCATGGTTGAAATCCAAACCATATGAAACCCAAGACATCATTAGCTTGTCACGCTGGAGTTGCCAGATATGTGCTTTATAAATGATGATTCTCTAAAAAAAACTTTGTCGAATGAATAATAAAGAAAAAACGTGAAGTTGACACACAGGTTGTGGTGAGTATACGTGCAGTTATTGGTTAAGTGTTGAATTACTGTGGACTTTACAGAAAAAAAATAATTTTGACTAAATTAAATGTACATGAATGTTCGGGTTTTATCCCCCTTTGTGCTAACAACGGACAGCCGTGGTTGAAGTTGTTAGCTTGTTGTTGCTAATATGTGTTGTTGCTATTGTATGTGGCCGGGGAATTACTTAACTTTACTTGTCGCTTCACAACAGATCGAATCACAATGTAATGACTTATTGGGTTAAGCAATTGTCCACGGCCTGCTGTCCAAGAATTAGACCTCACCAGAGCTTGTTGGAAACAAAACATGGCCGTGGCAGAGCATTCAGGTTTGGGCTACATAATGTACACAGAGCCATGGTAAACCGCACAGAGAGGAAGAAAAGTCACAGCATGTCAGTGTAAGTGAGCAAAGACCTTGATTGATATGTATATATTTTTATTACTGTGACTCAACAGCCCATAGAAATATGAACGTCAGAAAGAAAGTATTCATATGAATAGCATCACACATTAGGCCTATGTATACTATAAAAGCAGAATATATATATATATATAATTAAAACTAGTTTTACACAGGTAAAGTGCCTAAATCCCATCCAAGAATGCAGACACAGGCTGTTCCTTCCATCTGTGCTTGTTGATGGTCCTTCTTGAACATCATCTCGCTGAGACACACTGTCCACCTGGCCAACTGTAGAATGCATGAAATAATAAAACCAAGAATAGCTTCTTAATAGGCCTTTTAAATTAAATAAATTAGATATGCAATGTCTAACATATGGACATCTACTGTCACAGCCTGGCTAACTGTGAACTAACTGTGAATTTTATCTGCTGTATGCATTATGATATTCACATTTAAAAGATACAGCATAACTTGTATTATAATACGGGTAGATGAAATCCAGCGTTCTGATTGGTTGAGAGTCACTGGGTGTGCAGTATTGAGCGATAGTCTACAGTTGCTGTTCACATTGACCCGAGCGTTCCATATCACTGCGCACTCAAATTAGCAGGTTAGATTTTAGCGTTTAGCTCGGTGGCGATCGCTGAAAAAAGACCCATAACATCAGAAATGATCGGTTTGGGGCGATGCGAGCTTTTGCAACCGGACAATTCAGGTGGACGTCATGAGAGATTTGAATGAATGAGACCCTGTTAACAAACACGTACAGGGCCTATTTTTTTCTCTAGACTACTGAAATGCGATACACAACGTTTGGTGGCTCCAACAATTTTGTGCTAAAAGGCACCTATTTGATTACTATTTATAATTTTGCTGGTAACGGTGTAATAAAAGCAATACGGTACCTGAGGCCGTACTTTATCTTCAACAATGTAACAGTTCGAGGATTACTGAGCGTCGGGCCTAAGAAAACTCCAGAGCCGTTATTATTACACCATAAAGTACAGCCCAGTGTTAATTTTGGCAACTATTTTTGATTTAGTCTTAGTCTTAGTCTTTAGACGAAAAATGCATATTAGTTTTAGTCACATTTAGTCATTTTAATCCTTCTTAGTTTTAGTCTAGTCTAGCAAAGCATTTCTTTGCAAGGCAATTTAACAAATTGGCAAAAGTGTAACAACTTCATGAGGACCAGGGATCTAAACGCAACACTTTGTTGTCTTTGTCTGTTTACTTGCAATGCTTTTGACACGGCCACCGGAAACTTCATGGTCCTTTATTGTTTCCACTGTCCCAACAAAAGAGACCTTAACGTCCTACAATCGGTGCAATACATTATTTTCTTTGCTTCAGAACCTGCAATGAGTTTATTACGTTAGACGTGTTTGTAACGGACCGACAGTCAGCTAAACCGAGACAGCGGAGCTAAACTAACGAAGCGCACATTCAAACTCGCCGAGGCGTAAAATAGTCGTCGCGGCCCGTAGTCGGTGCATAAGAACCACCGCTGCACCGATGCGAGCGTTCTGGGTTCGTGGATGACGTCATCATGACGCGTTAATATCCGCCGTACTTTGCCTGTCTGTCAGCTGCGTGCGAATTTAGTGGGAAAAGTATCGTGACTTCGTCAACCACCAACATTACGTTCGTCTCGCCTCGTCTCGTTAACGAAAGTTAGAATAGATTTTGTCATATTTTTTATTTTTTAAGATCGTTTTCGTCACGTCTTAGTCTCGTCTTAGTCATGGGAAAAAGGTTCGTTAACGAAAAATTTTCGTCATAGTTTTCGTCCACGAAATTAACACTGGTACAGCCTCTCGAGCCTTATTGCTTAAATACAGTACAAGATCAGATGGTGCTGCTTTGCCCCTTTAACATGATGGGTAACTTACCCCCACAGTGGAAAGGGCAGCCGCGGGGCCACCCAGACAGAAAAGGATGAAAGAGCATCCTGTTCACTGAGCAGCACTGAATCACTGTCATCCTCAAGAGGTCCAAAGTAAGCACAAGAGAGTGATCCTCGGAAGAGCTCAGACTTCACTTCACCCTCACTGACATCAGGCCGAAGCTGAGAAAAAGACCAAACCAACCAACAAACCCTTGTGACATCCAACATGCTCAGTGGCAAGACACATAGACCGCTGCCGGGGTGGTGTCAATCAGCTTGACGCGCTGTGCGCGTCTTCTGCTAAAGGCCGGTGGAAGATAAGTGCTCATCTGCTGTTGCTAAAGAAAAGTGGTTGAAGAAGAGTTTGGACACTCTGTTGTGTGTGTGTGTGTGTGTGTGTGTTTGCAGCCCTCGCAGAATAGAAGCAACTCGATAAGTACTATATGATAAGGTGAAGGAAACGGCATAAGAATATATTCATGTCAACATAAATTAACAAGTCTGTCTTTTCGGTCCAGAAGTCTAACAGCTGGGTAACCAATATCTCCCGTCCAAACGTGTTTTTTCCTCCCTTGGTCTCTGCTCTGGGACAATATGTAGGAGCGTTTTGTCATTGGTTATCAGGGGATGATATATAATCTAGCCTGCAGAGAAACATGTGTTGTGCTTTAATCTAGAGCGCATAGGCCAGTATTCATGGGCAGCAGCTGGAGAAAATCACAAGAGACAAAGAGTCCAGAAAGGAGACATACTGCCCGCCTGCTCGGCAGATGCTGGTTCTTGTTATCGGCCCTTTCTCCACCTTTATTTATGTGGTGACTTACAACCCGACACCCTCTTTTTACAGTTGCGCACAGCTCCTTTGCCCACAAAGACGTGTTTGTATGAATAGATATTCTATTTTAGCCTTTATTGCCGAATTCGATAGCACATTCTGGTATTGTATCGGAAATAACTTATTAATCATAAACAGTAAAGGTTTGCTGAATATCCAGCCAATGCGTAGGTGAAAGTCCTCCTTTAAAATGATGCCTTTTGTGTGAGAAGTGTTGGAGATATCACCTTTGTGGCATCACCAAGCGACACTTTTTTGTGTTTAAAGCTCCAGAAAAATGCATTTGAAAAATGAAACTTCCCAGAAATCAACAATTCGGTTACTCAAGTTAATCCAGAGACTTTGCTGTGAGCAGTTTCACGTAGGAACCATTTTCATTCAGTCAAACTACAACCGCCAACTGTATCACCGCGCAAAGGGACGAGCGGCACGTGCTTGTGACAGCGTGGCGTGTGGAGCCTCTCATCCATGAGCTTTCATCAGCACGCTGTTGGTGGCCGTACTGGCACCGGGCATTCTCACAATTATTTAAAATTATATTGATTACGGTTACCTTCTTAGCTTAGCTTGCTAAAATGAGCTAATAAGAAATGAAGATAAGGTAAGCTTGGAATGATGGCAGTGTCATGGTATTTTATAGACTGAAACGGCAGTGCAGGAATACAGAGAATCTCTGAAAAACACATTAATTAATGTGTTGCCTACTTATTCAGGAGACTGGAAGTTGTGCGGATGCAGGAAAACCTCGGCACAAGCTCCTCATCTCCTCTCCGCCTCATATCCATACATTAGTTTCTCTTTTACGCCCCGGTTTCACACTGCTGCTCTTATTGACAAGCCCCTACTGTGATATTTATGTCACATATTTAATATGGACATGGGAATGATTATCAAATCCATAGTTGCCAAGGGAGTCCTATCGGCCTTAAATAATGGATGAGCAAGGAAGCGACTCAATTTGCGGGGCCGCACAGAGAGACAGGGCGAGCCGCAGCCATCGACCCCTCCGCCCATCCCCATCGCGTTCTCCCTCTCCGGAACGTCATTATTCTGGTCGATCTTTTCTCCCCTCGCTTGACATCATTCAATGTAATCATCCTTCAATAAAAAACCTGCTTGTAATAAAAGGAACAACCCGGGTCAATAGACAGAATATGGAGAAGGATGACCGTGTGCTGGGAGACGGCGTATAAATGAGCCTCTTTATCAAAGCGGATGGCCGCCTGGTGCCTTAACAGGAATTCGACCGCGACTGGAGTTATCATTGCTGTTGCCTTTCGTATCGTCGGTGTTTGCGCCCTGTGAATATGAGGAAGAATGATGGCTGCATTAATGAATCAATGGGTTAATGAAGCAGCCATTGTGTGTGTTTATTGAAATACACTGAGGAGAATTGAAGACTTTCTGCAGTACGTCCGCGCTCACTGTTCCGCTGTCATTTTACCGGATTGCCGCGCTCACACCGAGCAAAAGGGAGAACGGAAATCTCCCTTTTCTAAAACACGGCGATTGGCGTCTGTCATGTGAAATCTGCCGCACACGAATCTGCGTTGTTTGCAAGGAAATTAGTGCTGGAGAAAAGAAAAGAAGAAAAAAAGGAAAAACAAAGGTCACGCTTTTGTCACATGCTGTTTTTCAACCAGCCAGTCTGGACTGAGGACGGTTCGAGGGTCAAATTAGCTGACAGGGTAATTTTGTCAGGACGACATGCAGCGCTGCTGATTATCCCTGAGATAGCATAGTTTTTGTTTATCAAAAAATGTTAATTGCCTGTTTTTACGAGTAGGAAAAGATTAAAAGTTAATAGGAGAGACTAAATAAGCACAATGCAATTGCATGAGGGTGTAGAAGTTGGTAATTAATTTGTGGCCACCCCTGAGCTAATTAGCTAATATAAAGCAGGAAAAAAGAAGTTAATGAGGCCTAATGTAACTGATACACTGAAAAGTTTAGACTAATGAATTTATGAATGCGTGAGGAAATCAACCTCACACTCCCCAGCGCTCACGTCGAGAGGCGCCTCCTGGAGATGGAAAACACAGTCGTTGTTACTTGATCACCTTTGATGCAATGGAAGAGTTTAGCGCCGTATAAAAATCTTAAGCTCCGTGTGTGGAGGCAGAATTAGAAGTGGCGCTTCCACGCTGTGCGAGAGATGGTGGACCGTGGGAGGGCCCATTCCGGCCCAGCAGTTAAATTGTTTCGTGAGCCCTCGGGGTGCAGCCGGTCCGAGGATGCAGGAGCGAGAGCGTCGGGAGGTCTGGGGAGGTCAGTTTGGCCGTTGGAAAAGGAGAAACGGAAAAATGATAATACGCCCGCTATCTTACTGTGGGTCTCGTGGTGGAGATGGTCTGGGGAGGGGGGGGGTATGTCACAATGTCTGCTGCTTACATCACCCCCCAGCATGCAGCAAGCACCTGTCACATCCTCCAGCGGCGAAGGAGGAGACATCCTGATTGCAATGTTCATACCTCTAATATCTGTCCGTCTATTCACCTCTGACGTTCACGTTAAGAAACAGCTTATTATTTCACTTACTACTGTGATGACCCCAGAGGACATTACTTACACTCAATAGGGTCACAATAGCAGTTGTGTTGACACTGCGGATGAAGGTTCATGGGGAATTTGAATGAAATTACAGGGCCGTGATGAGTCCTGCTAGTGAGTGGGAGCCAGAGCGGTAATCAGGTAATTGCAGCTTTCATAAATGCAATTTATCACGAAGGCAAAGGCCAGCAGTGGACTAGCTGGAACGCTTCCCGTCTCTTCACACTGACCTGCGAAGCTTTCGCGTGCTGACATATGTCTTTATGAGCTGTGGGGAAGCATAATGGGTGATAAGGCAGCAGTGCCCCCATCAACGCATCCCTGTCATATTACATAAATCAGTGCTCTAAATGGACATCTTCCCGCGCAGTTTCCTTCATCCTGCACGGTTTACAGCGGGTAATTTGTCAATCACACTTTGATGGGGCGGCACAGATGCTATTAATACGATTTATATAATAGATTTACAAGTGTCAGAGACTATATTGCTGTGTCAAAACCAGGGATCTGATGGTTGAGCTGATGTGTCGTATAATCTGTGCTTTGCATAGTCAGCACAACCAGAGGGAATGTTGTTCTCTTTGGTGGCAGTTACTCTGACACAAGAAAATGCAGCACAAACTCCTACAGGGATTATACATTTCGTATTGATTAGTGACATGTGACATGTCTTCACCACAAATGGAATAAGCTAAAATAAAAGGTTCCTAAAAGGTACATTCCAGCAAGTAAACAACTGTAAGGTCATTTTTCTATAGCGTTTTTATCCAAAAATAAAGAGAAAACAGAACCATTGATTCACGATATCGGATTTTTCAACATTAACCAATAATAATGCTAAACTTAGAATAGGGCTGTTGTGTACGGACACAAGAGTGATGTTAATCTGATAGTAATCATTTCACTCTCTGGAAGACAGCGGATGAATGCGTTTAGAAAAATGGCAAACTGGTGTTTTAATAGAAGGACAAGTTTAATGTAGCGAATATTAAAACAACATTATTTGGCTGTATTTATAATAAAAAAGGCTAATATATGATCAATACTGAGATATCACGCTTCTGTTACATTCTGTTCACAGGTGCTTTTCATCCTCACTGCTTCTATTTCAGATAATGAAATCTATAAGGGATTCGGCTGGTGTGACGACAGTCATTGTTGCACTGAAAAGCTGCAATGGCAATCTGCAGCAGCGTGCCCCTGGATGAACAAACATCGCCGTCCACTCAGCTCAGCTCAGATCTATATAAAAACGCTGGTCTCCAACCTGTTGAGAGGCATGTCGAAAGCTCAGTCGCAACAATTTGTCCCTTAATACGAGACTCTACAGATACGTCTGAGGCTGATCCTCACATAGCCAGACTGACAAGCAGATACACGTCATCAAGACACTAAAAAAAAGAGAAAGCCGAGTGAATCGCTGCTATGTGTGTCGTTGTGATGACCCCTGCTTTGTCCTCTGTAATAGCCGTCGCATGGCGGTCGTGGAAAACATCCGAGAGAAACGACAAAGGATTTGTTAATGGGTCAAATACTCATTTCATAAAAGCCTGCCGCAGAAAGCCGAAACATGATAGGTCAAATACAGGTCTAAATGCCTTTTCCAGTTTTCCTATTTTCTCATTTCACATATCCGTCTGGTGTCCGCGCTCTCTCGCCTCTGTAATGGAAAACTATTGCAGAAGCATTTCTCCGTCAGCCGGGGTCAAGGGGTCATCGCTGATGTCACTCTCAAAGTAACCAGTGGCAAATAGGTCCTGACATGTGCTCTCCAGTGAGAGAATGAGACTGGACAGCTCCCCTGGCTTTCCGACTGATAAGCCGTAGAAAAGAATATGTGAGGCAAGTAGGATGGCAGACACAGCCGGGCCTTTTGAGAGACTAATACCAGCTGCTGCATTAAGGAACAAACAGCGACTGGGTGATGGGGGGGGGCGACACACATGTTTCTGCTTTTTTTTTCCTACCACAATGCAGTTCGTAAATTCAGAATATTCCATATTTTGTTTGGCTCGTTTTTAGTCAACTCAGGAATGGCATTCACCCCCTAAAATAATCTGTGATGAAAAAATAGGCAATTCCCTCTCTCAGATTTGTGTTCTTTCCTCCTCCTTCCATCTCCTTCCCATCTTTTCTCAAGTGTTAGAGCGTAACAAATTCCTCTTGTTCCCCGTCAGATGCATGTCATGTAGCGTGTGATTTGCTACACACATCCCGGTCTGGTACGGATTTCTTTGCCTGTTTGTTCTATACAGGCGTGCAGTGCGTCGTCATGCGGCGTGACTGCTCACTCTCCTTTCCCTGTAGTCCCACCTCCAGTCCCATCTGTCCCTCCCGGCCCGTGAGGAATAAACTCTGGGAGTGACAGAAATTACAAAAGGGAAACATAGGATGGGTTAAATTGGGTTAAATTTAAATGTACAAGCATAGAGTTTTTTTTCTTTATTCCATCAATCTCGTCTCTGTGTGACTCTCCAGCGCAGCGGTCAGAAAAAGGATGACTGAATGAGCAAATGGCTATAAAATATATATATATATATATATATTTTCTGACAGATGTGTCAGCAAGAGTGTCAGGCCTCCGTGACAGCAAATCCATGGCCCTAAAAAGAAAAAAGAAAAAAAGAATTTGGTGAGGGGGGAAAGAAAAAGAGCCGAGGGTTAAGAAGAAGAACCGAGAACTCTGACAAAGCGTAAAACAGGAATCCTCGGAGTGGATTCTTACCTCACCAGCTGTCCATAACGCTATTTCATACCAATTATTACCCCCACTGAGCAGGTGACAGGCTTGTGTGCCGATGGAAGCGCCACGCGAACTCCCCGGTAATCCCGAAATGACGGATCGGGAGAGAAGCCTTGCAGTGATTTGTGACAAAGTAACTGAACATGGACTTCTGTACTTAGCGACGTGAGAGCAGTTTGTCTTCATGCTCATAGTAACACTCTCCACTTTGATTTGATGCATGGGTTTTTAGTCCGCCTCACCAATATACTCCCTCGGCTTAACGGGGGGGGAGCATCGCCATCCAAGTTCTAAATTGAAAACTTGCTGTAGTGTGTCCATTCAGTATTTACATCGATTAAAGATGAATGTTTTGGCTCTTGTAACATTATTTTTGAGCACACCTTTAATATCACAATCATTGATTTAAATGTGTGTCTTCTTTTAATCTTTTCTTTTTTGTTTAGTTGCATTTTTTTATGCTCATGAAACAAACTTGCCGGAGCATCGTTTGACAGGAGGCATATTCACATTCACAGACATCCCATAAAAGACGGTTGCTTTGTTTGACTGTTACCCATAAAACCCCCAAACCTCCCTTGCTTGTGATTTTTTTTTTCCTCCTCCCAAGCCCTTAAGTCTTTCCCCTTGTTATATTCCCTCCACATCAATATGTCACCTAGTTCCGCTGCAGCAGGATGTCAACTTAATGCAACTCCGGGGTTAAGAAAACACCATCTCTGCCCCGCTGACTGATAGCCTGCCACCGCTCGCACAAAAAAAGTTTAGAAATTTGATCCACCTGTCATCTCGCCGGTGATTATGAATCTCTTCCTCCGGCGGCTCCGAGGCCCATTCAGATGCAGTCTAGCTTGGCCGCGCTCGGCGTCGGTTTAAATGGATGACGGAGCGGACTTCAAATCACTCCAAGTGAGTGGGAGAGAAAGAATCCAGCTCATCTAAAAGTAAACAATTGGGCCCAGTGGTGGGCTTAGAAAAATATACACCACTGTTTAAGAAACTATTGTAATCTGATGTAATATATAGGAGTCCTAAAATTCCATTTAAAGCTTCTAGGTCATTTGAGGAAAAAAAAAGAGAAAAAAACACAATGGCATAATTAACAAATCACCATATCGGCTGTATCTTGCCGTCCGTCTCACCAGCTCCCACCTTTTTTCTATTTTTTTTTCCTTTCCATCCCTGGAAGAGCCAACACAAAAAGAGAATACGTGTTTCTTTATCTCCGACCGCACGGTGAACTGCAGATGACCTTCTGAGCCAACTGCATTAGCTTTGGGGTGGTCAGACTACGAGTGTGTGTGAGGAGAGAAAGAGGAGAGGGGGGTAGGGGGGGGGGTTTCATGCTCTCCATTACAGTTGTTTAGGCTAGAGGGGTTAACGCAATGAGGCTAAGTAAGTTTGAACTGTGAATCACATCAGCAGACTTGTGCATTCACTTATGCACAATTGCAAATGCACAGTCCAGAGGTAATCCCATCACCTCAGCTGCGTCTTGTAAATTGCAGGATGAAGGCCTGGTGAGCAGTAGTAAGGAGTTCTTCATTTATCAAGCTTCTTTTTTGCTTTTTAAATACCAGCAATTATTCGGCGTCCTTTAGAGTGAAAGGAGCCATTACAGTTGGCTTGATTCATTCGCTCACTTATACTTTCTCTCAGCTGATGGTACGAGGACTCACACAAGCAAGCTTGCAGCGTCAAGCCATTTTTTAACCCCCGCTTTCTCAAAACTGCAGAATATTTCCTTGACTGAGCCCCCCGCGCCCCCCGCCCCACCCCCATATTTTTTTCCCAGATAGAGCCAGAGACTGATTTATTATAGATCTTCTTTGTTTTGATTGTTTCACTGAGAAGCAGGATGGGAAGATGGGACCTCCAGCTGCTCTGGATGCTTGGGAGTCCTGGGAGCCCTGGCCCGTCTGCCCTCCCCACTGGCCCGGCCGAGTGGGCATGCGCGGTGGTGGGCCGCGGCGGGGGGCTGATGGGGCTGCGGAGGCTGGGCCAGAGAGGCCACAGATGCCTTAAATGACTTGGCACGATGGGATAGCGAAGGGTTAGCAGCACGACTTGCAAGTAAATCCAAGCAGTTTGTCGGTGATATGTGTGAGGAGGTGACGGGAATGTTGTCGGAACCTCTGAATACAACGACAGACACTTGACAAAGAGGCGCGCTTGTCGGTTTCTGTACCGTTAGAACTTTGTGTTTTTACATTTTCATGTGATTGTGCTAAAAGCTCTTTCTTCCCTCCCCACCTTAGAACCAGGGTGACCCCAGTTTAGTATTGGTTGACCGTCTCAAACAGACGCCTCGGGGTGGGAAACCAGCACTTGAGTCCAAGCACCCATGATACCAGACCACCAGAAGGCCCCCCATTAGATAGTAATTCATGCGAAAGCTGTGGGACCCCCCATATCATTATCAGGCGACGGCCCTGCCAGCTTTTTGTTCAGGACACAGTCTGGTGTGATGCACGTCGTTTGACTTTGAGGGGAATATATCTTTTTTGTTAGAAAAGAAATTATTTGCCCTTTCAAGTAGTTTCAAGTAATTTATCTCGATACTGCTTTATATTCTCATCCTGGCTCTTTTTTTATGTGGAGCACTCACCCATCAAGTCTTGCGATCATCATTTTTAACCATAATCAATCCCATTTGCTCCCCTTTATGTAGCTCACACTGCAGCTTACACATGTGGTTTTAATACTTTTCTGTTAATAAACAGTGGCCTTGTATCAATGCGCAAACACCAATGGACTTGACAGTATTACAGACATTACTTGACATATCAGATTTAGGCTGAGAGATATTGTACATTTTAATAGATCATATATAGCAGTTATGCAATTATATAAATAATACTAACAAATAATACAACAAAAAACATGTATTACTTTACACCAGCACAGAATAACTGGTGTGGGTCTTTCTGCATGCTTCTCCAGTAAGAAACACTCTCCTCCGACTCAAGCGCAGCAGCACTCACTGTGACATGCAGGAAAAATGTAGGTGATCAGGTGGGACTCGAGAGGACTGAGAGGGAGAAAAAAAAAATCCAAACTAGTCTCTTTAACTTTTTAAAGACTTTTCAGCATTTGTTCTGCACACTTACCTACGCAAACTCCAAGGGGCCACAGTGACTAGGGTCCCATTTCAGGCCCAGCGTGGAGCCGGAGAGCTTCTCAGCTGTAAAATGAGAGCGCCGGAGCGCAGTGTGAAAATGGATTAGCCTCGCTGAGATAAGGGGAGCCCTCAGCAAGCCGTGCACGCCTTCAATGGGGGAAAAGAACCGCTGTACAAATTGTTTTTGGTACATTAAGTACCTGTTACTTTATTTCACAGATGGAAAACAATAACAGAGGCTCCGGGGTTGGAACCACCGCTGCACTGAGGAATGTGAGAGGTTCAGCCCACCTGGCGCCCTCTGAGTTTGCCCCCCTCTTTTCTTTTTTTTTTTTCTTAATATGCAAAGTGATTTTCGTAAGGACTTCTGCCTGAAAGAATTCAACAGATTGACAAACATGACATATGATGATAAATGGCCACGTGCCAGGCCGGCAGGCAGGTTACTGAGGGAAATCATACAGAATATCCATGTTAATAAAAAATAAAATAAAAAAGGCAGAATGTTCCCACTCAGCAAACAGGGCAGGGATTTTTCATTAATAGGCCCGCTGCTGCACCAAGGCCCCCCAAATTAAATGAGTGTGTCAGATCCCGGATGATTTATACATTTGGACTGATCTAACAGCTCTGCGAAACAACTATGACACCCTGACAAGCCGACAATGGATATGAAAAATGAGCCAATACCACGGCACTAAATCTGAGACTTTCAAAGCTAAACGCACGCGTAGAATCCAAAACCTTCAGCATACTTGCTGCTATAATGAAAATAAAGTGAGGAGAAAAAAAAAATCCCCATAAGATTCTCTGCACAATTTTAGCCAAATCATTCAGTGTTTATATGACCGGAGCGACGGAGACAAATTGGTCCGAGCGGAGACTGGCAGTACTTTGCCTTTCTGATGTCTTTTTCTGTGGCTGCGTGGGGAGCACGTCGCTTTACGGCTAAACGAGATATCGGGCCTATTGCTGAGCTTTGACTCAATCGGCAAATGTCGAATGGAGTTAGCGCTAAGGTGCTTTTCAAAACACCTCAATTCTCCTTCTGTTTCTGTCAAATCTAAAGAACGTGTGCAATTTGCTTTGTATTTCTGGCTTTATTCAAAGAAAAAAAAAAAGCGCCGCATGCCGCGAAGCAGCGGCAGAAACTAAAGGTTGTCGCAGTGAACACAGCGGTGACGAAAGCTGGGTTTATAATTACGTTGTGAGGAGGGCTGGTGGCCTTACTCACTTGTTAGATGAAGTGATAAAAACCAACATGATGGACTAAAGCATTTTTGCTTTTCTTAGTATTGTCCTTTTACCCTCTCATTCTGTGTCTGATGAAAAACTGCACTTGGTGTTCTTCAGAGCTCAGCAGATTTAGAGGAAACAATTACCAGTCCGGTGATCTCTGCCTCTCCAGTGCCGCCGATAAACACCCAGCGCCCTGAGGTATGGTCCGAAAATGATACAGTTTTAAACGGGTTAAATTTCATTGTTTGCACCCCACCTCCCCTCTCCCCTCCTCCCCTCCACACTCCCCTTTCTCTCCCTCTGAGGTTTCATTTCACAAAAGTACGAACACATTTTTTTGTCGATGGGGGCGAAAAAAATAAAGAGAGGGAACCAATAAAGAATATGAAAGGCCCATCTTCACAGAACATTAGACATCGCAAAACAACCCAAAGCTATGATCGGATATATCAAAACTGACAAGTAAAAGTTGATTGCTGTTTGTCCATTGATTGAGCTATATTTCACGCTGAGAGCGCCGCCTCATAGTCGTCTTCCCACTGCACCAAACGCTGCTGCAAAGGCACATTTAATGGAGATGGTCCGCGTAGATACACAAACGTAATCAGTGTGCTGTGGGTCCACTTGTGTTGCTGTATACACAAATAAAGAGTTACATGTTCTATCGCTCAAAAACACATTATGTGGAAAAACTATATTATTTGTTTTTGTCAACCTTTGCTGGAAGCAGAACTAAATGTTGCCGTTGCATTCAAGCATTTTAACCTGTGTGTGTATCCAGTATATAGAAGTATTTTACCATTATCTATGCTAAAAAGTGCTTTGATTGTAAGATAAGTGTCATTAACAGCAAAGTGTAACTCCTGTATTGCATATTTTGCAGTAAATCCAACCTCAATGAAAGTTACATTCAGATGTTACTTCAGTGAGATTTTGAGTAACCCGTTCATATTCCTATTGCCAAACTTAGATGGTTTATAGTGCATTTTAACGGCATTATTGTATGGCTCTGTACTAGATCAATATTTGTAGAGAATACATTCATATAAAGGGATGACACAGATAATTAGGGACATATTACAGCTAGGTGAGAAGTTCAAACGTAGAGCAGTGACTTATGAGTGTCAGAAGCCGAGATGAGTCACGGGAAAGGTGAGGCCACCACAAGACGCACCCTCCATATTTCTTCCATATTCGCTTTGTGCCATTCAGTTATGACAAGCACGCGGGTCCGTGGTGATCTGCAATTTGTGTCTTCATCCCCCCTCCGCGAGTGAAAGAGAGCGACGGGGCTGAAGAATAGGAGAGATGCTGACAGGGAGTGAAGCACTCGAGCTGCAGAGAAGGCCAAGTGTACCGAAACACAGCGGAGCCCGGGAGTGATTGAATGATCCCATTCTGGGCTCTTTGTTAGACACTAGGCAGCGATGTATGAAGATTGATACACAAGTGCTCGACTCGGTTTGCTGGATCATCAAACGGATTGATATTATACTCCAGCCAAGGATGAAGACAAAGTAAGTGTTATCATACTCAATACCGGGGGCTTGTCAGAGGCGGGAAATCATCCAGTGTCACTGCTTATGGCTGCGTTTCGCAGACTGTCGTGAATTTATCTGGGGGGGGGGGGGGGGATGCGGCGCCGTGAGGCTGCCGGCGGAGGCCCCGGACACGGCGTGAAGATCTTAGCTAAAGATTGAATTACAGCATCGTGCCTAGGATTACATTTATTCCACTGCTATCACGTTTGTCCCCACAGACTGCTGTAAATCCCTGGTCTTCTTATCAAGCGGCCATTTGTTGTCGCTCAAATCACATTATTCACGGCGATATCGTTATTTAGATAACATACGCATTACAGCAAATGATTTGTTTATCGGTTGTACGACAAGGGCTTCTTACATTACCCCAGAGCTTTCTGCATTATCCTCATTACTCCTCAGTCCTGGGATTGGTCGGGACGGAGTGGAGGTGGATGCAGCAGTTTGGTGCTGCATGCTACACGTGGTCTTTAACAACGTGAACTGATTACAGCATTGGGTGTTGTGCAGCATAATGACCTCTGCACTGAATACTGTACAGTATTTATTTACTATACAGATCTGGTTGGTTTTGACTGAATTTCATTGAAGCACAAAACAAAAGGAGATTTTACCTCCAGAACAACAGGCAGCTTCACTAATAGTTACAGGTTTTGGTTATTGTGACTGAGACATGTTACAAGTGGAAAACAACCTAAAGTAAGAGAGGTTATTGAGCAGTTTTGCAGGAGGAAGCAAGTGCAGATTTTAAGAAATAGTGGTTTTGGGTCTTTCATTTAAAAACTGTGTTTTTTCTTCATTTTATCTTAGCATCCTTAAGTGTGTTATTGTACATTTAGACTACAAACTGTTTGGACCCGGAACATTAATCAACTGTCACATCTATTCTTTGCTAATCACAGACATTTATAGGCGACACATTGTTCTTGTGGGTGGAGCTTCTTCAGGTGTAGACAAGGTCACAAGGTCACAAGGACTACCACACTGTGTATTCAGGGGGACTTTTGGAAGAAATGGAACACAATAGTCATAAATATGTAATAGACCTCAAACTCAATATTCTTGGATTTTCTTGATCTTAGAATTAGCGATTAATATCTTAATATCTACACGGGCAGTGATTCCACAGCTCTGTTTGTCACACAGCAGCGGGGAATTGACAAACAAACACTGGCTCTGGACAAAGTCATCGCATGATAGATTTAATACCAACTCATGAGCTGGAATTCATGTGAGTGACATGGTTAGCTCTGAAACTAAATGTTTTTCCAATTTAGATGCAACGTGTAAAATGTAACCATAAGCAGTGGAAGGACCATTCGTAACTTTATTGTTATGTGACAGGCTTTTTATGCTTTTCATACACCTTCTGTGGAAAATAACAACACTGAACCTAAAAACTATTCCAATGCAAGTGGAAGTCTAAAATGGCATATTGTTATTTCATTGGTATTAGCACAATCAACATAATGTACTTTAAGTATCCAGTGCGCGGTACGTGCTCATTATGTGGCTATAGTTACATTGTTGCCGTTGAATGTCTGTAAACGCAGCATTTTGCATGGCTGCCATGCAACGTTTCACAAATTTTTAGATGATTTAATCTGAAATAATCTACACATGCGTGATGATATTGGTTGTATGTGAGCCTGTAAAGTAACTACTGCTTGGTTGTCACGTAAACGGGTCAGTAACTAACTCCAGTAGGCTCATGCTAATACCTCCAGGAGCTTCCTGATGCTGTTTGGTTAACAGTACAGACATCAGTATGCAGCTCTCTCTGCGGAGCAGTTTTATGCACACTGTAAAACTGTCAGTTATGTCTTTGCATACAGTGCCCTTGCCATGTCTGTGTAAAAAAAGAAAGGCATATGTGGGAAATACAGGAGGCCTTGAGCACTTATGGATATTTCTCTTTACATTCATCATTTTTACATGTACACGCTGGAAGCCGAGAGGCTGTCAAAAAGACTTACGGCTTTTCATCCTCATATTGAAATGCCACAGAAGGCGTTCTGCTTTTTGCATTATATCATTTACTGTGTTACAGTGTCAAGTTACACTAGTTACCACATCAGTGCACAAAGGGAAACATACCCAGGTTGCTCGGGCCAAGATGTGCTTGCTATGATTTTGACTTGTTAAGCTGTTGACCACATGTGTGTGTGTGTGTGTGTGTGTGTGTGTGTCTATATGCGACTGTATCTACGAATCTGTGCAAGAGTGTAGGTCACAGACACCTCAGCAAAATAACACGAAACGCGGGGAGAGGTAAACAAACAC